TCCACTAGAGGTTCCCCAGTAGAAGTGGGAACAAATTTCTATGGACTTCATCACAAAATTGCCGAGGACTGCGAGGGGTGTTGATGCAATTTGGGTGATTGTGGAAGGGTTGACGAAGAGCACTCACTTCCTTGCTATCAGTGGGAGATATTCTATGGAGTGCCCAGCAGAGATATATATGAGGGAGGTGGTGTCGCGGAATGGAGTGCTGATCTCGGTTTTGTCAGACCGAGATGTACATTTAACTTCCAGGTTCTGGAAGAAGCTCCATGAGGAGTTCGGTACGAGATTGAACTTCAGTACTGCTTACCACCCACAGACGGATGGCTAGAGTGAACAAACGATACAAATGCTCGAGTACATGCTTCGAGCATGTGTTATGGACTTTGGTGGAAGTTAGGACACATACCTACCTTTGGCTGAGTTTTCTTATAACAACAAATGCCATTCAAGTATTGGTATGCCTCCTTTGGAGCTTTTATATAGGAGGAGGTGTCAGACTCCCATCTGTTGGGGAAAGGTAGGGCAGCAAGTGATGGGTAGCAATGAGATAGTGCTTAAGATGACTGAGAAGATACAGTAGGTCAAACGGAGGTTACTAACAACGCAGAGCTACTAGAAGAGTTATGTTGATAGGCGGCGATCCGAGATTGAGTTCCAAGTTGGAGACTTTGTACTCCTAAAGGTATATCCTTGGAAAGGAGTGATCCGATTCAGGAAGTGGGGAAAACTAAGGCCCCAATACATTGGTCCATTCAGGGTAATCGCCAGAGTGGGCATGGTAGCATACCATTTAAAGCTACCTGAGGAGTTGGGTTAGATCCATGATACCTTCCACGTATCCCAGTTGAGAAAGTGTATAACCGATGAGACGACGGTATTGCCGCCAGAGGATATTCAGGTGGATGTAAGCCTGTGTTACATTGAGAGGCCGATCGCGATCTTCGATAGGAAGATCAAGGTTATGAGAACCAAATAAGTGCCCCTGGTTCAGGTCCAGTGGCAACATTGGAGAGGGTCCGAACTGACTTGGGAACCGGAGATGGAGATGCGGGTGCAGCATCCAGAGTTGTTTTGCAGAATGAGGCTTCGAGGGCAAAGTCTGATTCTAGTGAGGGAGAATTGTAACATCCAAACTTCCAGTTATCATAATTTAAGGGTTTTCTTTTGAGTTAAGAAGAGGTACTTGACGATTTGACTCCTAAACTCATCGAGTAGGATCACGATTGATGACTCGGATTAAGGAATGGACTCGACGAGTCCGCGCTATGGACAAAAACCCTAAATCTTTGGGCCTGTGCCCTATTTAAGGGTCCTTATGGCCTTCATTGGTGGCCACACACACACTTGAGAGACCTTATTGAACCAGAGAGCACAAAGAGAGATGAAGGGAGCTAATTACACCATTTTAGTGCATTCTTGCAAGGAAGGAAAGGAGATTCAAGCTAGGCTGATTGGAGGGGGCTCAGAGCTGCTATCATATCATCAAGGGTTGCTATTTGAGGTACGATTTCAGGCCTATTCTCATACGTATAGTACATTCCATGAATTTAGGGTTTCCCTACCCCCTTTTTAATAAAGTATTGGAGCATGTGAAGTCCCCTTGAGGAATAGACATTGGATTTGGACATTGAGAAGTCCAGAGAGTCCCAATCATCCAGCAATATGTAGTCCCATTGGTGTTTTGAATATAGGTTGTCATTTCAAGAGTTATTCCATCAAATAGAGCTTGATGTGTGGTTCATTGACATAAAGGTTGAACCTTTACGTTGCTTTTGGGTGTTAGAAGGTCAGATCTATAGGTTAGAGAATCGAATCTGACCTCAGATGGTTAAATGAGTGTTGCCATGGAGGAAACTCACCGAGTCCATAAGAGGACTCGACGAGTCAGATCTGGTTGCCCCGTGATTCGTGATCAGTGGTAACCCGTCGAGTGAAAGGTTAACTCGATGAGTCGAGTAAGGCCTTAGGAGGATTCAAAGGACATGCATAAACTTGCCGAGCCACTCGAGTGCACTCGACGAGTCTGGTCAAAGTTGGACAATTGACTGGATTTAACTTCCGTTGACCTTAGGATTTTAGTCAAACTGATATAAGAGAGGCCATGGATGGGTAGAATGGTTTTCCACCCATTCTTTAGAGATGAGAAGATAGAGAGAGTGTTGATTAGAGATGTCATCATTTTGATAGGAGGATGCTAGATTGGGGTTATCGAGAACGAGAGCATATTAGACATCATACGAGGTGAGTCTTCTCATTATACATTACCTAGAGTGGTATCTATGTGCATACTAGAGCGTCTTATGTGTTATGTGTATAAGGTTATGTGCATTGTGTAAAATATATGCTATGTGTTATATAGACTGGACCAGAACGTCCAACGACTTACGAGGCCAGAGGGTCCTCGATTAGACTGGACCGGAGGGTCCAACAAGCTAGACCGGACCGGAGGGTCCAACGAGCTACATGATTGGAGGGTCCCGCTAAGACACATTAACTAGAGGGTCATACCGAATTATAGTCTCGAGTGGCTTATGTGGTGTATGTGGTATTTTGGGGAACTCACTAAGCATTTATGCTTACCATGTTATGTGATATGTGTTTCAGGTACCAGGGAGGATCGTGGGAAGGCGCCAACATGATTTGTACACACTAATAGAGTATTACGTATTATGTATTTGAGATTCTTGGATATGTTTTTACTGAGATAACATTTGATACATTTCAGTTTTGAGATTACTTTGTGAGATATGTACTGTTTTAAAATGAATTTTTTTTTTGAAAATTCATGTCGTTACAAATAAAAGTTCAACAAAAGTCAATTTTGTGGATTGGTGTTGAAAGGTGGGTTGATTTCATGGAAAACTTTGATTTCTTTTTAAGGTTTGAAGGATGATCATGGGAGATTGATTTTTCAACCACTTTCGAAGATTGAATGTTTGGCTGAAAATGCTCATATCATGTCATCCATTAGTTATAATCAATCGACAAGAAAAGAAAGAGAATTGTTTTGTAAGCCATTCACTTCTCTTATTGATAACCCAAATGATCTTCTTCATCTTAAGATTGATGAAGTTCTAGACTATGGAGTTCAATGTGATGTTCTTGATATTCTTGAAGTTCACGAAAAGAACCTTCAAGTTGATTCTCATGAAGATGAAAAAGTTTTTTGCTGAATTGGAGTTCTAACTGATGATATTTTATGTTCTTGTGATCCGTTTGAAGGAATGATTCCTTATCGAAATCCACCAATCTAAGAAATTCATAAATATCAAACTCCAAAAGATTTGTTTCAAACTTGCAATGTTGAAGTTGTCACGAATGAAGGTATTCTTGAAATCAAATCTTCATGACGTAAAAAGATGAGAAAGAATAATAAGAAGAAGATTAAACGGAAAAACAAGCGGGTTTATTCACAAAAATCATTAAATGTTGTTATGAATCTGAAATCCATGAATTAAATTTGGGTTCCAAAGCAACAATCTCCAAATGTTGCATTGAATTTGAAGTCAAAACGCAAAGGTATTGATGGTTCTTAAAAACATGTTCTTAGATCGTTGAAGAACACGAAGTACACAAAGAATGAGTTGTATAAACGCATCGTGCGTGGTACAATGTTCAAATTGCAGATTTTTTTTGTTCCAACAAACGAACCAAGATCTTATAGATTTGATTCATTTGTTGAAAATAGAACTTCGATCATCAAAAAGGTGTCAGAATTTCTCAAATGGATTCCAAAATGTCCATGATTGCGATTCGTATTTTGTGTTTTTTCATTTTTAATCGATTTGTCTCATTAGATCAAATCCATTTCAAAATGTCCATGATTGTAATTCAATTATTTTTATTTAGATAAATTTAAAAAAATCAATTTTACTATTCATTCGATTTTAAAGCCCAAATCAATTTATATTCAACAATTGTTGTTCATGAAACCCAAACTAAAGTTTGGTACTGGTAGTATCATATCATTGAGCCCAAATTTAAACTACTTGTTCATAATAAGTTCGATCCGATGAACTGATCTTTCATAATAGTTTGATTCTTGAGTCGTACGTTCAACATCGTTGTTGGTATCGATTTCATTTATTTCATACATTCATGAAAATCAACTTTATTTCTTCCATTTCATCTCATTATCTCTAATAATCGAATGATGATATTTGATTTTGTTTCGAGTTGGTAGGATATTAATCCTTGAAAGATCGATTAGATTCGAAACAAATTGAAAAACAAGAACAAGACAATGATTCAAAATGTGCGTAGTGACGATAAGTCACATCCTCAGAAGAACTTGATTAATAATTGCTGCTGTAGAGTTGTGGTTAGGGTTACTAGAATAAATCGAAAGTTATCAAACATGATGCATGCATGAACCTTAAATATTATAACCCTAGAAATAAAAGACGGGTGAACAGGCCCAACCTAATAACAAAATAGACAAAAATAAGAAGCCTAATGACGCAACAGAAACTTTTAGGGTTGAGGTCACTTCTGTACTTCAAAAACTTGTAGAATTATTCATAGCATAACCTTACAAACCTGGATGTACCATTGGATCATATCAGAATAACACTTTTTGTCTCTCTAGCTGTTGCCTTTGACCTTATTGACGATATCTAAAATATACTCCAAGCAAGTGCTAGAAAGAAACATGCCTTGGGAAAGTCTACATAATTTCGTTCCCGTTCCTGAAATACCACATACCACCCTTCTTTGTAAATCCTCCCAAGCTTGAACTTCTCAAAAACTTTTAGAGCTTCTTTAGGGAGAACAGAGGGCTTCTTTGTTAGCATAACAACTATTTCCACATCTATTTTTCCCATCTCTTGAATATACAAAACTATCATCAGCTTTAGGTGAGCGATAATAGGCTCGTAGTTATGTCCGTCTCTCAGTAGTAAGTTGTAAAGCATCATCCAGTCATAGGGGTTGAGACAAGGCAGGTCTGTGAGAGTGAATTTGTTAACCTGACTAGCAGAACCTCTGACAACCTTGAACTACACATTCGGGAAGTTGTCGGTTTCGATTGGACCTGTGATCTTTATTGAAGTAACCTTGCAAGCATTCCATATTTTATACTGTAGCTTCATATGCTTGAGAGACAACAATAGGATGAAATGGTCGACACCATTATTAGTGGATGGGACATTCGCTACTTTTACAAAAGACCAAAACTTGAAAGATTTTGGAGTTATTGGAAGATCCAGTTGTAAATCTTGTGTATTATGAAGCTCAAATGACACAACTGGTTCTACCCAATGTTGACTTGGTAAGTCCACGACTTCATTCTGAGTTCGGTGCAACGTCCAAATTGGAAATAAGAGATTTCAGCTTTCAAGTATGACATGAGCTTCTCTTTTTACTTTCTCTTTTTCTTCAGCCTCTCGAACTATCCTTTAATGCTCATTCATTTCGACCTCATGCACTTTTCTTCTTTTGAGCTCTTTCTCATCAGGTTCTTCATCATCACTATGATCAATAATGGTTTGTTCAAAGAAAATCTTTTCTTTGCATGTAGGCTCAAACTCGCTTTTGACTTTATGCTTGGCTGATGTCTTCGAGTCATCCTTCTTGGATTGTTCTCCCCTTTGTTTGAGAATGCAGAATTCCAGAACACCCTCCAAACAGTGAAGCATGGCGAAGTCTGGCCTGAGTTTTTCAGCAAGATGTTTTCTTATTGTGGTTGTAATAATTTAGTCCCTAGCCTCAATGATATCTGAGAGCAAGCTAGTCACATCTGAGATACAAATTTTCATGACTACTCTCTCGGATAACGAATCCTTGACTTGTTTCTCAGCAGCATCAAGTTTGATAGTGAGAACTTTCACTTTTTTCAGTTTTGACTGCAAGAGTATGCATTATCTTACTCTACATTATGACGTCATCTTAAATCTTGGATATATGCGAGGAGACGTATGACGGTAACTCGTCGTAATCAAATTTAAGGTTGGTGCGAACCTCATGAAGTTTCTCCTTTTTGGTTTTGAGAGATGAGCCCAGGCTAGAAATTACTTCGTTAGCCTTCGCAGTGTTGGACTCAAGGAAGCTTTGGAACTTTTACCTGAATCCAGTGGCTTTGAAAATTAGTTTATCAACGTTTTTCGATTGTGTTGTTACAGATAGTAGTAGAGGCATTTACTACCTTGTTTATCCTCTCAAGATTGGTTGAGTGCTCTTTAGTAAGTGTCTCAAGGAGGGACGTAACTTGTAGCTTAAGAATAATCATCAGTAATGATGGCTTTGAAGCATGAAGCAACGAATCAAGTTTTTAATGTATGGCCTTGATTTGCCCCTCGTGACATGAGCTTCGACATCACTTTTAGTCCTAATGTTGAATTGATTGTAGGTGAATCATGTGAAGTCTACCTTGTCATCACCATAAATCATATATGGGTCTTTTTGGTGTAGTGGGGAAAAGGGTGGTGAGATATGAGTAGTTTTAAAACCTGAAGCTCTTGCCCTCGCATCAGATGCATTGACAAAAATAGGAGGTTCCGTTAAAATTGTTAGTGGGGTAGTGGAATAAGAAAATAAGGGAGTAAAGAGAGAGGAATAATGCGCAGTATTTGAGAAGAAATGGGTGGAGGACATGCTGCGACACTTATTGGTGTGGTGGTGGTTCCGGGTGAATGTGGTGGAGATCGGAAGAAATCATTATAAGTTGGAGTTACGTCAGGGTTTATTGATACCGGAGCCGAAACCTCTGGTTGGTAAGTTGTTGCAATATGTTCGTCTTTTGTAGGCTCTCCCTCTTTAATGCGAACATCTGACTGAGTGTGAGAGTGTGAATGTTCGCTTTCACTGGGAGTGGGAGATTTGGGCTTGCGAGAATCCTATTTGATCTTTTGCTTCTTGCTTTGAGTGGGAGCAGTTGCAGATGAGCCGGCTTGGGCCTTTCGTTTGTTGGGAGGGTTTGCAGGTTCAGATGGACCCTCTTTACCACTTTGTTTCTTCTATACTTTCATGCCTCCTTTTTGACCTCCTTTCTTTGGTTTGTCTTCTTCATCAATGATTGATTTCATGTAACATCCCATTTATTTAATAAATAAATAGACAAATAAATAAACGAAATTGGCCCTAAAAGCAGAATAGTCCAGCAAAGAATTAGTTTTGAGGGTTAAAATGTAATTAGGACTTAATTTAAAGGGATGATGGAAGCTAAGGGTTGAATGGTAAGGGGGACTAAACTTGTTAAAAAAAATTACAAATTTGAACGACAACCACAGCTGAAGAAACCTCGTTCCTCCCGAGTATGAAAACACCACCCAAGAGAAACCCTAAACCTAATCCTTAGCAGCCGCCAACACCTTATGAATCCCCAACTGACATCTATCCCTTTCGTTCACTGTTCCGATCAAATGGGGATGACTGCTGGCTCGCCGTTGAGCACCACCGAACGTTACATTGCCGTTGAAGGTCACCATTGCAACGCTGCTGTCGGAGGACCACTAAGGGTCGTGGAAACTATCGTGAGTGTTATTGCGTGAGTCACGAATTATCAAGAGGTAGCTGGTAAGGTCAACTATCATTTTTTTTCATTTCCTCGTTCATTTTGGTGTTTTGACACCATGTTTGAAGGCTGCGAACACCAACGACCCTTGAACCACCTCCTCTACATGTTCTGACGAACCCAACCTCCTAGTCGCTGGTTGGAAGTCTTGGTCCCGTGCCCTTTATGGACTTGGATTTCTAGAACGAGTTGTATGTGAAAGCAGGTTGTTGTTTGGTTTGAAATCCACCACCACCACCATAAGAGGTGTCTACGTGTGTATATATATATATATATATATATATATATATATATATATATTATGTGTGAAGTTATGTATGTAATCTTTAGGTAGGAACCACCACCACCATTGGAAATGCTAGCTACCACCGCCTTCTGCCACCCTCAACCACTGTTTTTGCCACCATCTAGGGACGTTGTCGTCACCATACGCCACCAAGTGGGTGGTTGTGTCATATTCCGGACAAAGAAGTGTTATGTGTACCTTTGCTTGGTCGAACTTAGTGAGAAGAAGCCATCACCACCACCTGCCACCACTAGGGTGGCTGTGTGTATGTTTAGCTTAGTATGGGTGTGTGTGTTTAGCTTAGTGTGGTGTGTGTGTGTGTTATTTGAGATTAAGCATTCTAATTTTAATTAACAAAAATAATAATGTAAAGAACCATAACCACCACCACGAGGTGGTTGTCGCCGCCGTAAACGCCGATAATCACCATTACCCGAGGTGATAGTGGATGGTGCTCGGCTAGCAAAACCATAATGAGCCTAAAGACTTTGTTTTGGGCCTAATGGTCTATGATTGGGTGGAAACACTAATTAGGATTTAGAAAACCCTAATTTTGGAATAATGGGCTTGGACTTATCGGGACCCACATTTTGTGCCATTGGAATTGGACTATGTATTAAGCCCGATTACACCATATGATTTATCTACTAGAGTAGTGGACTTAATGGATTAAGTCCTTAAAGGGTTAAGTGGGAAGAACTTAAGCCTAATTTTCATTTAGGTGAAACCCTAATTTCACTTGGGCCTTAAGTTAGGCCTTTATATTGGGCTTTGGTGATTGGGCCAATAATGGGTCATTCAAGGACAATCATATGGAATAGAATAATTTAACGGGCTTAAGGGTAACGCCAACGTAAGGGTTTTGGGACAATTTGGAAAAATTGGCCATTGATGGGCCATAGTTTGGGCCTTGGCGACCATGAGAAATTGGGTCTTAAGGCAAGACCATGTAGAGACTTGGGCCCGATTGGGAAAATTGGGTCGTAGATGATCCATGGTTGGGCCTTGGTACATTATTAGACTTTTGGGCATTTGGGATTGGGGCTTAGGCTTGAATCAAGATAACATAGGGGTAAAGAAGTCTTTTACCCAAAGCATGGGCTTATAAGTATATATGATGGAACCCAATTATTAATTGGGTGTTACTTTGATGTTGACAGATTCGGGAATTTGTCATCCAACAGCTAGTGTTTTGTCAGCACGACTTCAACAGTGTGAGGTGAGATTTTCCTCTAGTAGGAACGGGTCTAAGGAACCAATGCTGATCTTTTTATGTAGTTGTAGTATGTCGGGGTAAGATCGACGCAGTTTATATCTTTCCGAACTTCAGTCCAATGCGGAGGTGGTCCTGAGAAGTAGTTATGTATGCTTGATGTCTTTGTGATTCATTCATGTTTATGTTATGTGTTATATGTTTCGGACTCTGGTCCAATATCGGGCAAGCCCGATGGAGTATATGTGATTATGTTATATGTTTATGTTTATGTTATGTTTAGTTTATATCAGAATTTGGTATGATGTCGGGCGAGGCCCGATGCACTGGGCGGGGCCTAAGTTATTCCGGACTTCGGTTTGATGTTGGGCGGGGCTCGATGCAGTGGGAGGGGCCCAAGTTATTCCGGTACTTCTACTAGCAAAGGGAAGGGCTCGAGATGATTGCATAGGAAACACCACAACTTTCAACCTGGGATTAATTGTGCCTCTGATATTTTCTCATAGATGGAATCATTAAGAGCGTTTAGATTATAATTCTGACAATACAATTCACTGATGTTCCAAAAATTAACAATCCTTTTATATGCAACTTTTTTAATTATAGAATGAAGATGAGTCCCAATGCCTATTTCCGGATTGGTTGGAGAATCATCAATCAAAACATTATCCACATGCAATTTTGTCAAATAGAAAACACTTTCTGTTGCAAATGTTTAAAGTCTATCCCCTTGAAATTTTTGGGTTTCTTAACATGATTTTTCAACACAAATTGATCCATTTCGAAAGTAAATTTCTGTATGTTCAAAATTTAAATATGAAATTTTTGTATCAGATTCTTAGAAATTATGTAATACAATAATATAATTATGTTTATATATTACAAAAACGAATTCAAATACTATCAATAAACATAAACAGAAAACTTACCAAAAAGAAATTATAGATGGTAATCAAGGTAGAGGCCTGCAAAGCAATGTACTAAAACAAAAAATGTTCCCTATCAGTGAAATAGAGTCCGAATGTCTGAATTGAGGATACAACTATCTTTTATCAAGTTCTTGTACTAGAACTTGATTTTTGATGAATCTATTGTATGCATTCATGGAATTGATAGGGAATTTTTGTATGTGCTTTGTGGTCGTTTATTCAAGAGATCCAACAAATCAGATTTGAATCCTTTAATAACAATCGACATGAAATTGTCAAAATCTAGTTTTCATAGCTTCTATAAACCAATCTTATCTTATTCAAACTGAAATTAAAAAAATACTATAGGTAATTTTGGATTTGTATCTTAAGACCCCTAGTGCCTAAAGGACCAAGGCCATATTTTGATCATTAATATATTATTAAATTACTAGTAGTCCACGAGTAATTCAAATCCCACAAACCCATACTAGCCCACCTTATGCACTTAGTACAATATAACAAGAATAAGAGAGTAAGCCTTTTAAACATACACAGGTTTGATGTTCCTTCCTATGTGTAGAAACGTGAGATTTGCACAAATTGTTTGCCTGCTGAACCTAGACAATCAGATCGTCAATGTTTCCAGGTCAGGTTGCCACCAAGTGATAACTCATTATCTTGGCTTTAAGCCCACCCCCTCGATGTAAATCATACAT